CAAAAATGTATTAATAGATGATCTTGGGTGTGATGATGACTTTTTAGATAAACCAAAGCCATAATTCATCAAAGAAATAATTGATCACTCTAGCCTGGGCAACAAAGTAAGACTTTGTGCTCTCAAAAAAAAAAAAAAATAAATAAATAAAAATAATTGATAAGCTGTGCTTCATTAAAATTAAAAATTCCTGGGTGCAGTGGCTCACACCTGTATCCTGGCACTCTGGGAGGCCAAGGCAGGTGGATCGCTCAAGGTCCGGAGTTCAAAACCAGCCTGAGCAGGTGCAAGACCCCATCTCTACTAAAAAATAGAAAGAAATGAATTAGTCAACTAAAAATATATAGAAAAAAATTAGGCAGGCACGGATGCGCATGCCTGTAGTCCCAGCTACTCAGGAGGCTAAGGCAGAAAGATCACCTGAGCCCAGGAGTTTGAGGTTGCTATGAGCTAGGCTGATGCCACGGCACTCTAGCCCGGGCAACAGAGTAAAACTCTGTCTCAAAAAAGAAAAAATAAATAAAAAATTCCTGCTCTTCAAAAGACACAGTCAAGAGAATAAAAAGCTAGTAACAGTGGCTGGTGCTTTTAATCCCAGCTACTCAGAGGGCTAAGGCAGAAGGCTCACTTGAGGCCAGGAGTTTGAGACCAGTCTGGGCAACATAACAAGACCCTGTCTCTAAAAAAATATAAAAAACTTTGCCAGGCATTGTGGCAAGCACCTGTAGTCCCAGCCACTCAACAATTTAAAAAAAACTGAATTAAAAAATGGAGGTGTGCGCGCGCGCGCGCACACACACACACACACACACACACACACACACAGGCATAGACACCTGACCAAAGATATGCAAATGGCATAAAAACATTTGAAAAGATGCTCCACATCATATATTATCAGGGAAATGCAAATTAAAACAATACAATACCACTACATACTTATTAGAATGGCCAAAATCCAGAACACTGCCAACACCAAACACTGGTGAGAATGTGAAGCAATAAAAATTATCATCATTCATTGCTGCCAGGACTGAAAATGGTACAGTCACTCTGGAAGACAGCTTGGTAGTTTTTTACAAAACTAAATACACTCTTACCATATAATCTGGCAATTGTGCTCCTTGGAATTTACCCCAGCGGAGTTTAAAATGTATGTCTACACAAAATCTGCATGTGTGTTGTTTACAGCAGCTTTATTCATAATTGCCAAAACTTGAAAGCAACCAAAGATATCCTTTAGTAGGTAAATGAATGAACTGTGTGATACATTAAGAAAATGGAATATTCAGGGCTAAAATAAAATGAACTATTAAGCCATAAAAAGCTATGGAGGAAACTTAAATGTATATTACCTATGATGTATAATAATTACTGCGTAATATGTAAAAGCCAATCTGAAAAGGTTACATACTATATAATTCCAACTATATGATGTTCTAGAAAAGGCAAACCTATAGACAGTTAAAAAGATGGGTTGTTGCCAGAGGTTAAAGGGAAGGAATAGTCAGAACACATGATTTTTAGGGCAGTGAAACTACTTTATGATGATATTGTAATGGTGAATATATGTCATTATATAAATCTGTCCAAACCCATAGTAAGTAAACCCTAATGTAAACTTTGGACTATGAGTGATTAAACAAACAAAAAAAAGAGAAACTAGATACTGGAAATATATACTCACCCATGGAATAGTCTAACAAACAAAATCAAATCTGAATTTATTTTTTGGTTTTGGTTATTTTTTTTGAGATAAGGTCTTGCTCTGTTACTGGAGCTAGAGTGTAGTGGTGTCATCATAGCTCATTGTAACCACAAACCCCTGGGCTCAAGTAATCCTCCTGCCTTAGCCTTCCAAGTGCCTGGAACTACAGGCTTGTGCCACGATGCCCAACTAATTTTTTTTTTTTTTTTTTGTAGAGACAGGGTCTTCCTAGGTTGCTCAGGCTGGTCTCCAACTCCTGGGCTCAATTGATTCTCCCATTTCCGGTTCCCGAAGTGCTGGGATTACAGGCAGGAGCCACCACACCTGGCCTCAAACCTGAATTTAATCAAGGCTCTGCACTAACAACATGGTAGCCACTAGCCACGTATGGCTACTTAAAATTTATTTGAAATTCAGCTCCTCAGTCACACCCACCACATTTCAAGTGCTACATGGCCAGTGAAAGTACAAAACATTTTCATGATTATAGAAAATTCTATTGGACAGTGCTGCTGTAGATCTAATGTTTATAGGAAATAAAAGGAGGAAAAGAATATGATAATGGACGCCTTGGAGATACAATCACCAAAATTCATACTGTGGAAAACAACCTGGTTTCTTCAACAACAAAATTCCAAGGAAAAAAAACCTACAATGAGGGAAACCTTTGGATTAAGAAATTCAAGATGGTAGCCGGGCGCGGTGGCTCACACCTGTAATCCTAGCTCTCTGGGAGGCCGAGGCGGGCAGATTACTTGAGGTCAGGAGTTTGAAACCAGCCTGAGCAAGAGCGAGACCCCGTCTCTACTATAAATAGAAAGAAATTAATTGGCCAACTAATATATATAGAAAAAATTGCCCTGGGCAATAAAGTGAGACTCTGTCTCAAAAAAAAAAAAAAAAAAAAAAAGCTGGTTAATACCACATAAAAAGACAACTAGGCTGGCGTGGCTCACGCCTAATCCTAGCACTCTGGAGGCAGAGGCGGGCGGATCACTCAAGGTCAGGAGTTCAAAAGCCTGAGCAATAGTAAACCTGACTCTACTAAAAATAGAAAAGAATTAATTGGCAACTAAAAATATATAGAAAAAAAAATTAGCGGGCATTGGTGGCGCCTGCCTGTAGTCCTAGCTACTTGGGAGGCTGCGGCAGAAGATTGCTTGAGCCCAGGAGTTTGAGGTTGCTGTGAGCTAGGATGATGCCACGGCACTCTAGCCCAGGCAACAGAGTGAGCCATTCATTGTCTCAATAAAAGACAACTAGACCCAATGAAAATCCCAGCAGCTTTTTTCTGGTTACCAACAAACTGGTTCCAAATTCATATGGAAACAAAAACTTAGAGTAGCCAACACAATACTGAAAGTGAAGAACAAGGTTGGAAGGGACTAACACTACCCTACTTGCAGACTTACTATAAAGCTACAGCAATCAAGACAATGTAGTACTTGTGAAAAGACAGACAAATCAATGAAACAGAATAGAGTCCAGAAATAGACCCACCTTAATGTAGTCAACTGATTTTTAACACAGGAGCAAAGACAGTCTGTTCAACAAATGGTGCTGAAACAACTGGACATTCAAAAAAAAAACCCACAACAACTGGACATCCACATGCAAAAAAAGAATCTACGCACAGACCTTATACTCTTCACCAAAATGAACTCAAAATGGAACCCAGATCCAAATGTAAAATGCAAAAACATAAAACTCCTAGAACACACAGGAAATACATAGGAAAAAATGTATTAATAGATGATCTTGGGGTGATGATGACTTTTTAGATAAACCAAAGCCATAATTCATCAAAGAAATAATTGATCACTCTAGCCTGGGCAACAAAGTAAACTTTGTCTCAAAAAAAGATGGCCAGCCATGGTGGCTCATGCCTGTAATCCTAGCACTCTGGGAGGCCAAGGCGGGTGGATCGCTCAAGGTCAGGAGTTCGAAAGCAGCCTGAGCGAGATCCCGTCTCTACCAAAAATAGAAAGAAATTGACCAACTAAAAACATATATACAAAAAAACAGCCAGGCATGGTGGCGCATGCCTCTAGTCCCAGCTACTCAGGAGGCTGAGACAGAAGGATCGATCGAGCCCAGGAGACTGAGGTTGCTGTGAGCTAGGCTGATGCCACAGCACTCACTCTAGCCTGGGCAACAACGTGAGACTCTGTCAAGAAAGACAGACAGGGAAGGAAAGGGAAGAGGAAAGGGAAAAGGGAAAAGGGAAGGGAAAAGGGGAGGGAAAAGGGGAAGGGAGGGGAGGGGAGGAAGGAAGGAAGGAAAAGAAATTCAAGAAACATACACTCAGGCCTTGCTGGATCCTGATTTAAACCAAGTATAAATTATAAAAAGAAAGAAACATTTATAGGACAGTCAGGGAAAATGTGAACACTGACTAGATATTTAATAAGATTAAAGGATGGTGGTATTGTTCTTAACTTTAAAAATAGTCCTTATCTCTAAGAGATACTTATTGAAATATTTATAGATGAAATAACATGTCTGGAATTTGCTTCAAAATAATCAGGGTGGGCTATATAAGCAGCACAGTTGGCCACAAATTGATTATATGTTGAAGCTTGATAATACATACCTGGGAATTCTCTGTACTAGTTTCTCTACTTTTATATGTTTGAAATTTTCCATTAAAAAGTTTTAAAAATTCTTGGAACATCTGAAATTCCTAATTTTATCACCCAGTACTGAACTCTCCTCAGAAATGAGAGACTCTCACATTCAAATCTCTAGCATTAGTATATCATTCCATGTTATGCCCTCATTCTCCTGGACTCAGAGTAACTTGGAGCTCATAGATCCCTCCATTTTCTCCCACTCTCTCAATTTCCTTCTGACTACTCCTAAGTTACAACAATCAACTGACTCACCATATGAACTGCAATTGACTTTTCTGTATACGTAGGCTGATGAGTGCCGCTGGGGTAGGAGCAAAACTGTGCAGATGGATTCCTTACAATGTCATGGCCCACCACAGGTAAAATATTTGCATTTATCAATCTTTTATTTGGCCTTACTCAGCTCTTCATATTATTCTGCTAAGAAATCTCCCAAAACAACTTCATCACTGCTCTTTTAAGTCTCTGTATTCAGCCACACAGCTGAAGAGTAGAATGCTGAAGAAAATACAGTTTGGGATGTATTTGTACTTATGTTTCTTTACCAATAATCTGTCATATTACAACAGTAATTTCTGACAAAGAAAATTCATTAACAGAAAGATTTTAGCTAAAATCTTTCTATAAACCAGCAAAGTTGAATGTTATTAAAAACTTACTGTTAACAGCAATCCATTCATTGAGGTCCTCTCCTTCTGGCAACATAACAGCTTGTCTCAGATTCCCACTCCCTAGAGTTGCTTCTGCATGTTTTAAGAGTTCATACTGATGAGATCCTTCAGGGATATTCTTCTTTGGTTTGAATGTTTTAGAAGAGCGGCTGCTGCTGTTAGGGTAAAAGTAAAAGTATATGAATTTTTAGGACTGGAAGTAGAATGGCATAATTTTAGGCATATAAATTACTCTGTAAAATAAAATAAAAAATACTCCCTAAAAAATGCCAGGATGGCAGAGGGGTGATGAGGATCACAATAAAAGAATTTTTTATATTTTTTCCTGTACCTAAAAGCAGGATTAGCAGCACAATTTCACAAAGAAAGCAATTTTACTATGCCTCATGAAGAAGTCTGGTGCAGAGGGTACTGTAACTAAATAAAAAAACCTGGATATGAAACTAACTCTGTGACTGCCTGAAAAAAAGTAAGTTTTTATTCCTCTCATATTACCCATAAGGTAGTCTTTCTAACATGACACAAAATCCAGAAACCTTAAAGAAAAAGTAGACTCATTTCAAATCATAACAATTAAAAACTTCCATAACAGAACAAAAAGAAATAACAAAAAAGAACTTGCCACATATATTACAAAGGATTAACTGGATAATAAAGATCTTCTATTAATTTGTTAAGAATATAAAGAACCCTTTAGAAAAATGGGCTACGAGATGAAAAGGCAATTCACACAAGAAGTACAATGACCTTAACTAAGCATGTGAAAACCTGTTCTATTAGAGTAAGATTTATTTTTCCCTAATTTGAGTGTCAAAAGTTAAGGTGATTACATTATTAAGAGTAGACTAGGGTGCAGAGAAATTAGTACTTTAATAAATTACTGGTGAAAGTGTACAGTGTATTATGTTTTGGTGGGGCACTACGGCAGTATCTATAAACACTGAAAAGTTCCTCAAGCCATCTATTCCACTTCTAGGTTTCTCCCCTAGGTATGGATAAGAATTTGCTTTCCAAGATTGTTTTTAATAGCGAAAAGCCTAGAAACAATTCTAAAGTTAGTCAGCAGAAGAATGAATAAACTATGGTACATCCACAGTGTGGAATATTGTATAGGAGTTAAGAAAAACAAGATAGAGTACATGTATTCACATGGAAGGATCTCAATACATGGCTAAGTTTTGTAAATGCATACAAAGTATCAAAACTAAACACATCAAAACTTGGGATTACTTCCAGGAAGAGGAAGGGAATACAACTATGGACTTCTACTTTACCTGAGCAATTTAAATTTTAAATAAAGCTGATTAGAAAGTAAAAAAGAATTATGAAAACACTAAAAATCAAATATGGAAACTTTTTAACATGACAAAAAACTAAATTTAGGCCGGATGTGGTGGCTCACACCTGTAATCCTAGCACTCTGGGAGGCTGAGGAGGGCGGATTGCTCAAAGTCATGAGTTCGAAACTAGCCTGAGTGAGACCCCATCTCTACTAAAAATAGAAAGAAATTAATTGACCAATTAAAATATATATATATACACAAAAAATTAGCCGGGCATGGTGGCACATGCCTGTAGTCCCAGCTATTCAGGAGCCTGAGGCAGTAGGATCGCTTGAGCCCAGGAGATTGAGGTTGCTGTGAGCTAGGCTGATGCCACAGCACCCACTCTAGCCTGGGCAACAAAGTGAGACTCTGTCTCAAAAAAAAAAAACCCTACATTTAACAGGGAAGTACTGAATTTGTATAGGAATGGCCCTATACAAATACAAATAAGAAGCTATACATGAAAGCAAGCTAAATATGGAAAATATGAAACGATTTCTCAAGGTTCAATATGATCCACTTTTGTACTTCAAATAATACCATGACAGTGAAAACAATCCATAGAATGTAAGAAAATATTTGCAAATCACAGATGTGATAAGGGACTTGTATCCAGAATTTATAAAGAACTCTTACAACTCAAAAACAAAAAGACAACCCAAATTAAAAATCGGCAAAGGATCTAAACAGACTGAAGTCCAAAGAGTGTATTCAAATGGCCAACATGCACGTGTAAAGATGCTCAACATCATTAATCATTAGGGAAATGCAAATCAAAATCAACCACTTCACAGCCATTAGGATGACTATCATAAAAAAGACAGACTGGGGGCCTTCATGCTTGTAATCCCAGCATTTTGGGAGGCCAAGGTGGGAGGATCCCTTGAGGCCAGTGTAAGGTTTTTTCAGCGGGGGAGAAGACAGAGAGTGGGGGCCAAACCACGTGGCTTTATTATACACTCCTGGATGAGGTTCTGGGGCCCCAAGAGAGGGGGGGCCCCAGAAGTCGCTGCTGTTTGAAGGGGCTGAGGCCTTTTATATCCCTTGGGCCTGGCTAGGGACTTTTGGTGGGAAGAGCTGGGGATTTTAGGAGGGGCTGGAGGTACTTGTGGAATCCAGGAGCCAAAACTTTCTTATCTAGGTGAACTTCTGGGTGTGGTTCCTCTCAGCGGGGCCTGGCAGTTTTGTCCTTGGCAGGCCTGGTCTTATGAGCCTTTTCTTTTTTGATCTAGGGAAGGGAGGGGGCCCGCCACCAGCCTTACAGCCAGGAGTTCAAGACTAGCTTGGGCAACTTGGGCAACATAGTGAGACCTCCATCTCTACAGAAAATTCTTTTTAAAAATTAGCCTGGCATGGGGGCATGTGCCTAAAGTCCTAGCTACTCCAGAGACTGAGGCAGGATGGCTTGAGCCTAGGAGTTCAAGGTTACAGTGAGCTATGATCTCACAGCTCCACTCCAGCCTGAGCAACAGAGACCGGTGTCTCAAAAAAAAACAGGTGGCTCACGCCTGTAATCCTAGCACTCTGGGAGGCCGAGGCGGGCGGATTGCTAGAGGTTGGGAGTTCGAAACCATCCTGAGCAAGACCCCGTCTCTACTAAAAATAGAAAGAAATTAATTGACCAACTAAAAAATATATATATACAAAAAATTAGCCGGGCATGGTGGCGCATGCCTGTAGTCCCAGCTACTTGGGAGGCTGAGGCAGGAGGATCGCTTGAGCCCAGGAGTTTGAGGTTGCTGTGAGCTAGGCTGACGCCACAGCACTCACTCTAGCCTGGGCACTCTAGCCCAGTGCCCAGCCAACAGAATGAGACTCGGTCTAAAAAAAACAAAAACAAAAACAAAAAACAAGTGCTATCAAAGGTATGGGTAATTTGGAACCCTCATACAGTGCTGGTGGACATGTACAATGGTTCAGCGCTTTGAAAGTTTGGCATTCTTCAAAAGGTTAAACATAATTACCATATAAACCAGCAATTCCACTCCTAGGTGTATGTCCAAGAGATATGAACACATAACATCCACACAAAAAGCCTGTATACACATGTTCATAGCAGCATTATTTGTAACAGCCCAAAAAGCCAACTGTGTATCCACAAATAAAGTACTACCTAAACAACTCATGAGAAAGACTGGGACTGTGTATTCACAAATAAAGTACTACCTAAACCACAACTCATGAGGAAGACTCGGGGCAGGGGAGGAATACTTCTATTAATATTAAAATTTTAATTAAATCATAGACTTTTTGACATGGTAATCCTTTGGAGACTATACCCTTAAGAAAACAACCCAAAGGAAGGAAAATGAGATTTGGATAAAGACACATTCTGTAGTGCTATATAATAGTGAAATACTAGAAAGAATCCAAATGTCTTATAATAAGAAGTGAGTAAACTCTGGTTATGAAACACTGCAATTTAAAAATGTCAAGCATGTGGATTATGTACATAACTAAAAGTGAATCATTATTCAATCACGTAACACACATTTAAGCTATATACAAGCCACCTGAGAATAACAAAATCAAAGAATTTACAAACTTTAGCCTCGTTTGGGCCCAAGCGTTAGTTATCTCTAAAATGAAATTCCACCGAGGACAAGAGAAGGTAGCTAACTTATACAAATTCACAAAACCGGTAAAAGGACCTGGACAGAATGGTGTGGTTGCGAGGCTCGCATCTCAACTTCAAGGTTCTCAAACTGCGGCACTCCATATTCTCCTGGGACGGCATTTTATATGGACAATAATAAAATTGGACGCGTGAGGGAGTAAAAAGGCCAAGTCCACACGGACGGATACTAGAGGCTCGAGACTTACTGACTTTGGGAGCGCACGGCTCCGCCCCAGATCGTCTCTCCGCCCTCGGGGGCGCTCGGGCGGAAAAGTTTGGAGGCGCGGCCGACCTTGGGGCCTTTCTACTCCCCAGCCGTCTCGCTCCGCTTCCTTTGCCTCAGCCTTCATCTCCGTCATCCTCGCCCAACTTCCTGGCCACCCCGTGGGCCCAAGCAGAGGCAAAGCCAACGCTAGCCACCCTGACCCCAACCCTAGGCCCGGCCCTTGCCTCAGGCCCCGCTGGCCCCCTCCCCATCTCCGCCCTCGGCCCGGCCCCACTCACAAGAGGAAGCTCATCTTCGGTCCTCAGAGGGGAGGGGAGGGGCCGCTGGCCCCCACCCCCGTCAGGATTCGGAGCCGGCGAGAAGGAGAGGACGGTCCTCAGCTCGCTGACAGCGGAAGCCGGGCCGCCGCCGTTCCGAGCTGGAGCCTGAGCCGCTAACAGGCAGTGTACACCCCGGCGCCCGCTGTGCCCGCCTCCCCCACCTCGCAGACCCAAAATGCGGAACCAGCAAAATCTCGCGAGCTAAGGTTCAGCCCCGCCTAGCTGAGAGGGGCTTGGCGCACCCCTTTTAGCCCCGCCCCTCCCGGATATCAGCCAATCAGCGTTCCAAGGCCGGGACTTCCCCCTTCTGGAGGCGTGGCAAGGACCGCGGCTGGGGAAGAGAGACTGGCTGGTCCTGTGCTAGGTTGGGCTTCGTGCTGTGAGCGCTGTCCACACCTGCAATTTTTTAAAAATTTAATTCAATTTTTAATTGAGATATATTCACATAGCATAAAATTACATTTTTTAAATGTACGCTCCAGTGGGTTTTTTGTATACGTTTCACAGATTTGTGCAACCATCATCACTAATTCTAGAATATTTTCATGACCCCTAAAGAAATCCCAGACCCGTTAGTAGTCACTCTCTATTTCCCACTCTCCTGCTAAATCCTGGCAACTGCTAGCCTACTTTCTCTTTCTATGGATTTGCCTAATCTGGACATTTCATATACACGGTAAATGGAATCATACTATTATGTGGTCTTTTGTGGCGGGCTCCTTTCACTTAGCATAAAGGCTTCAAGATTCACCAATGTGTGGCATATATCAAGACTTCATTCCTTTCTATGGATGAATAATATTCCATTGTATGAATATACTACATTTTGTTTATCCATTCATCTGTTGATAGATATTTGGGTTGTTTCCACTTTTTGTTTATTGTTAATGCTGCTATGAACCTTCATGTACAGGTTTTTGCACGGACGAATGATGCATTAATGCCGTGTGACAGCCAAATGACACCATGGTGGAATGAAGAAAACAAGAGGAAATAGTGGGAAACTTGAGTCATAGCTCAGGGAATGATGGTGCAGGATGCCCAATATAAAAGAGCTTGCTCTGTACCTGAACAATTTATATATTTAGTTTCTCTAGTCATGTTTATTTTATCGCTAAATATCAACTGTCCACCTGCCACACTGTAAGCTTAAGGAGGGTTAACTTTTATTTTGTTAACTTTTTTTTTTTTTGGAAAGACACGAGTGTCACGTTTGTTGCGGAGCGGCCTATAGTGAGTCCATGGCAATCCAGCCTAGCTCACAGCAACTTCAATCCCTGGGCCTCAGTGATCCTCTGCGGCCGCTCAGTCTCTGAGCAGCTGCGGCACTCACCAGAGGCATGTGGCCCACCATGCACCGGGGATAAACAATTTTTTCCTGATTATATACCGTTCAGCTTGGCCAATTAAAGTTCGCTTTTATCGGTATAGTAGCAGCACAGGGCTGCTCACTCCGAGCTCAGGCGCTGGCTTCAAACTCCTGACCTCGAGCAAGCTCCGCCCTCCTCCGCAATCCCCAGAAGTGCTACGGATTACAGGGCGTGGGAAAAACACACTTATACTCTTATAATAACTTATATTTCATTTAACACCAGAATATAGGTAGGTCATAAAAACGGTTTTCTTAAAGGGTCAAAACTATTTCCCTATTCTATCCTTTCAGAGTAAAGCTCTGAAAACAAAAAACACAAACATCACTAGCCACTTCCGTGGAGAGACGGCATCAGGGTCACACAACGCAAACCCCAGGACTGTCGCCCACACACACCACACACCCGTGGTGGGGAGGCTGAAGGCAGGGCAGAGTTGCTGCGAGGTCAGCGACAGTTAAACGCAGCATGAGCCAGAGGCGAGACCCCTGTCTCTCTACGTAACAATTAAAAAAAAAAAAAAGAAATTAATCTGGGCCCACTAAGATATATACGAAAGAAATTAAGCCCCAGGCAATCCGGTGGAAACAACAATGCCTGCTAGTCCAGACCCTACTCAGGAGGCTGCGAGGCGAGTAGGCATTGCCTTGAGCCCAGGAGTTTGAGGTTGCTGTGAGCTAGGCTAATGTCATGGCACTCCCTCTAGCCTGGGCAACAAAATGAGACTCTGTCTCAAAAAAAAAGTGCTTTCCCAACATGGGAAAAAGAAATTCATCAAAGATATTCCCTCTTTTAATTGTATTGTTCTTCAAATTGGAGAATCACTGAGGATATGAAAGCCAGTTATTTGTTAGGAAAAACTTTCAGAATGGCTAGATTTTGCAGACGTTGGGAGGAATTAGGGGAACATCCTCAGTCAGTATTTGAAAAGGATATCAACATAATCTGTTTAGGGATGAAAGAATTAAGATTTCCCTAGGTGAGAGAGAGAGAAATTGCTGATTGTTACAGGACAATTTGTATCCCCACCAGACATGGTCTATACAAAGACTGGAGAAGTTTTATCCCCTTACTGGTTCAGCTGGCCAGAGAGATAGCTGCACACCATCTGGTCACAGCAGATGCTGAAAGCAGAAGCTAGGCAGCAAATTCTAAAGCCACCAGTACTGCCTCTTCTGAACCTCTCCCCACCCCCACCATTCATCACAACACACAGTTCCCCTTTAGAGCTGCCTCAGGCAGGATTTGCAACTCTGCATTTTCGTTCTGTGTAAGTGCCTGACCCATTATTTGCAAAACTCCAGTTTTACCCTAACAGTACCACCCAAGCAGGGTCCCTTTCCTCTTTGGTGACAGTAAATTTCCTGCTGCTGCAGCCAGTTGGTGCTCTCAGGGGTTCAAGTTTTAGTGTCTGTCACAAAAGGGTGAAAAAAAACAAACAGGCAATAAAGTCCCTAAGCCATCCCTGCCCATTACCTCAGGAGTTCAGATTGAAGACAGGGAAAAAGGAATCCCAGTTATCCCAGTTTATCAGACACCAAAAAATCACTCAGTCCCAGCGCAGTGGCTCATGCCTATAATCCTAGTACTCTGGGAGGCCATTGCGGGCCGATTGCTCGAGGTCAGGAGTTCAAAATCAGCCTGAGCAAGAGTGAGACCCCGTGTCTACTATAAATGAAAGATTAATTGGCCACACTAATATAATATAGAAAAAATTAGCCAGGTATGGTGGCCCATGCCTGTAGTCCCAGCTTACTTGGAGGCTGAGGCCAGCAGGATGCTTGAGGCCAGGAGTTTGAGATTGCTGTGAGCTAGGCTGACACCACGGCACTCACTCTAGCCTGGGCAACAAAGCGAGACTCTGTCTCAAAAAAAAAAAAAAAAAAAAATAGTCACTCACAAAAGAAGCCATAAGAAAGTGTCCACTTTGAGAATGTCTTAAATCCAAGGACAGACCTCTATGTCAGCCATAAACATTGGTGAATAAAATACATGGCCTCTGCCTTCCTGGAGCTTACCTTCAGTTGGAGAGAATAGATATTAATCAAATAATTATGCCAATGGATGATGTAATATTACAAATCGTCAATGGAAAATAATCTAAACTCTGTAAAATAATTTGAAGAGGGTTATTCTGAGCCAAGTTTGAGGACCATGGCACAGAGCCACATCCAAGAAGCCTTGAGCAAGTGGACTCACGGTGGTTGGGTTATGGTTCGGTTTTATACCTTTCAGGGAGACAGGGATTGCATGTAAAGTCATAAATCAATATGTGGAAAGTATACATTGGTTTGACCCAAAAAGGTGGGACATCTCAAAGCAGGGCTTTACAGGTTATAGGGGGGTTTAAAGATTCTTTGATTTGTTATTGGTTAAAGAGATGAAGCTTTGTCTAAAGATTTACAATGTTTTAAGTTAGGGAAGTCTGTTAATCAGAGACAAGCCAGACCCAAGTGATCTCTTAAGTAAATTAAGGACTTGCACGTGTAGTTTAAATGTTGTCTTGCATAACCTTAGGCCTGTTAATGAGTTACAAAGGATGTCTTCAAGAAAAAAGGGGGGCATGATGAAGCATATCTGACCTCCCTTCTCATGGCCAGCAACTCAGTTTTAGGGTATCCCTTGGCCAAGAAGGGTCCATTCAGTCAACTGGGGAGAGGACTTAAGATTTTATTTTAGTTGACAAAATTGTGGTACCTGTTATGAGGAAAAGCATAGAATGTATTAAGAGCATTAAGGAGCCAGGCATGGTAGTGTGCACTTGTAGTCCCAGCTACTCAGGAGGCTGAGGTAAGAAGATTGCTTGAGGAGTTCAAAGGCAGCCTAGGCAACATATAGGGACATCCTGTCTCTTAAAACAACAACAAAAAGCATTATGACAGTGTGACAGGAGAGACCTGGAAGAGAAGAAAAGAGAAAGAGCCTGGGAGTCTTAGGAGATGCCATTTAAGCCAAGTCCCCGTAAGGCTGAGTTAGCCAAAGTAAGGGGGAGAGAGAGAGAGAGAGAGGAGGTCTGCTCGGAGTCAATGGAGTATGCAGGGGCCTTGAAGCGTGTAAGAGTTTGCTACGATCATGAAACAGAAAGAAGCCAGTTTTGGTGAGAATGTGATAGACCAGGGAAAAAGTGAGGGGAGATAAAATCAGCCACCAATAATCTTGGATCTTACTCGGAGCAAGGTGGCTACTGAAGGAGCTCAGGAAATTTCAACCCAAAATATGTCTCCTTTTATAAGAGTATTTTGAATTAAAGGCCTTAGAGATCAACAGGCCCTTGGAAGGGAATTTTCCTCTATCTGCATAACCCAAGGGACCCATCAAATGAATAATGGACTTCCCTTCCCTGTAATTTCACCATATTGCAGGAAAGAAAATCAAGAATGCAACCAGACCTGGCCCAAATCACTTAAAACATAATACCTGCCTCTCAGGATAATTTATAAGTCAATCTGTTTCTCCCATTCATTCACTCTCTCAAGTATCCATTCATCCTCCCTAGCAACCATTATTGTCCCTTAGACAGAATTACTGATACTCCTCATCCTCATCCCTCTGCCCCTCTAAAATGCAGGTATAAAAATACCTGGATCCCCATTGCAATATTGGGTAATCACTCTGTGATTTTCCCTGTGTGCATGGCAAATAGACCTCTTCCTCTTATTAATCTGCCTTATTTGTGAGTTGATCTTTCAGCGAACTTTCAGGAGAAAGGGGAAGTTTCTCCACACCCCCTACAGTTTGGTGTAGCCAGCAGGATCTCAAAGCAGCTCTGCTCCTCTGATAGCCCAAGTGAGGAGAATTGGAACTCCTACCTGCCAGCAACACGGTGAGATACCTTCACTTACCAGTCAGACTCCCAGTTTCCTGTCTCTGTGG